GTTTCTCGGCGACCACGGTGCGTTCCAGCAGCTACCGCACTGGAACGCACACGCTTTCGGTGTGAGTCCAGCGCGTTACTAATCCTTGCGTCCAGCGAGCCAACTGTATCCCTCCTGTACTAACCAGCAACTGGCACTGCCCCTCGATTGCGCTTCAGTGTTTGGCCCCGCCCCTCGATTGCACCTCCATGTTTGGCCCCACCCCTGGATTGGCAGGGCCTTCAGGGTCACACGATTGGGCTGCTCCGTCTAAAATGCCTGGGCCTTTTTTTTCCCCCAAGTCCGTCCCTGGTCAGACTTGATGCACTTTTGACACTCTGAGTCAAATATCCAGGACAGGCATGTAGATGAGGACTCTCCTCCAGCTTGCCTTAACAGAATACGTGTTCCAGGTCAGGGACAGTGGGTCAATATGACAGCCAGTCAACTAGCATTTATGACTGGTTTACATGAAGAAAAAAAAAAACACATCAAAATCTTTATCTGCTAAATAAAAAGGAAGCAGGTTTTTGCTCTGACAGTAGAACGTTCTGCCCTGGTTAGCCAATGGTGTTCATTTTACAACATTTCCTCACTCAGACAGGCCAGAATCCCCATCCTTCAGACTTAACAGCCCAGATGTCCTATAAGCCTGGATTGAAGTAAATCCTCATGCTCATTCTTGAAAACATACAGACCACATGCAATAATACCGCCGACCACTGAAAAAACAAAGGAGGATCTACACGTCTGTTTTTTGTTGTTTTTTATTTAACAAATAGTTCTGCTCTAATGAGCTATTACTTTGTTGATTTTATTAGAGATTTAAAGAGACCCTGTCACCACATCCTGCCTTGTCCACTAAACACAGGCTGGAAACCTGCGCTAGATGTACTTACAGTGGTGCTCCCCTGCTGCAGCAATATGAGTTGACTTACAAAAATGAAAAAAATCTTTAAAAAAAAATGAATATAGCATATCTAATTGTCACACCATTTTGTAATTTCATACTAAGCTCAGGAGTTACATCTTAAAAATGCATTCAAGTACCTCAACTATTAATAAAATGTATCTTATTTGTGTATCACTCGGCTGTAGATCCTCAAATCATCTCTGAATTGGTGCTGACACTGTCTTTCCTTCTGGAGGGTGGCTACATTTGCTCCCCATGGTCCCTGTGTGTGTTGTAAAGTAGCCACCGCTCCAAGCTCTCTCCCGTGATAGACTACAATCTCATTTTAGTTTAATGATTTGTATTTAGATTGTAGTCCATCACAGGAGTGAGCTTGGAGCAGTGGCTACTTTACAACACACACAGGGACCATGGGGAACAAATGTAGCCGCCCTCCAGAAGGAAGGACAGTGTCAGCACCAATTCAGAGATGATTTGAGGATCTACAGCCGAGTGATACACTAATAAGATACATTTTATTAATAGTTGAGGTACTTGAATGCATTTTTAAGATGTAACTCCTGAGCTTAGTGTCACTTTAAATGCTTGTTTTTGCCTAGGGTTAGAGAAATAAGGTGTAATTGTTACCTGATGCCCTGCCCCAGCAGGCTTCAGTGCTCACCTCTTCTCCATGGCGCTCTGCATTTTTATTAATAGTTAAGGTACCTGAATACGTTTTTAAGATTTAACTCCTGAGTTTAGTGTCACTTTAATTTGTTAAAAACTACTTTTCCATTTAAAACTGTAGCTGCGGTAATCAGTGCAATATAGTAACATACATAGTAACATAGTAATAAGGTTGAATAAAGACCAAGGTCCATCCAGTTCAACCTATGTATGTGAGTGTATTTATCTTGCTATGTATCTTGTGTATTTAACTTCCTATATCCCTGTAGATTCTGAGAAAGAAGAAAGTCACCCAGAAGTTTCTTGAATTTACCAATGTTATCCGCAGATACTACCGCCTGTGGTGGGGAATTCCAAAGGTTTACTACTCTCACAGTGAAATACACCTTGCGAGTTCTAAGACTGAACCCCCTCTCTTGTTGTGTTCCTATGCTGACCTGAAAGCATCCTGTACACAGTTAGTATACAAAACGCCCCCAAAAATGTCACTGCCTGCTTCTGTGATAACTTTTCGTCTGATGATTGAACTGTTGTACGATTTTCGTACGGCGGCCCCATCCTGCCCAGATTATCGCAAGGTTGGATCAGCAGTAATTAAAAGAAAGCACCAGGACGAATTGCGGTAATCGACTGCACGTATTTTCATCTGCGCATGTGCAGTGTATATTGTACGAATTTTGACGTATGGAAGCGCCACCAACCTTGCGAAAATCGTATGATTGACTGAAGTTTTATAACATGCTGGTTAGTCAAAAGTCGATCGATTGTACAGTATTTGTGGTTGTGCACTGGCCATCAACCTTACAAATATTGGACAAAAACGCGATCGCATACGAAAATCGTCCGATATTCGTAAGGTGTATGGTCAGCTTTAGAGAGATTAGGAGGCTAACATATTTGCTTAAAGGAGAATTATGAGGTGAGTGATTTTCACTCAGCCTCATAATCTGAGCCGACCTGTGACAATTAAACTGTCACAGGTCGGCACAGTAGATCGGGAAGTGAGCCGGCACTTTTCGATCCTGTGTCGGCAGAGAGCCGTGACAGGGGAGGGACTGGATTCCCCCCTTCCCTGTCCGATCCTCCAGCACTGACTGGTGGAACGGACGGGGGAGGGTACAGCTGGCTCTGCCTCTAGATAGGCAGAGCCAGCTGTCACTCACGCAGCTGGGTGGATCCAGACATAATTGTCGGGATCCGTTCCCGCTGTGGCGTCTCAGTATACTGCGAGCTGTAGCTCGCGGTATATGGAGCTTTGGTTGATGGGAGGACGCTAGTTTGTGTCCTCCCGTTACCCTTAGGAGAACTATGGGGAAAAGCCCCAACCCCATAGTTCTCCTTTAATTAATGCCACTTTAAAATATATTTCTTTCCTTACAGACTACTAGTAACTTTTAGAAACTAAACCTAGGAATGTGTATTTGTTACATATTATTCATATTTTGAATCTGATATTGTACTCCTTACAAAATATTTATCCACAGCCCTGATGAAGAGGACACTGCAATTGCCCCAAAATGCATTTTGGGATATTATTATTATTATACAGGATTTATATAATGCCCAGTTTGTGTAGCGCTTTACAACTTCGAGGGAGACAGTACAGTTGCAATACAATTTCAATACAGGAGGGTTAGGAGGGCCCTGATAATGAGAGCTTACAACCTAAATAAAACATCTGTGATCAAGATTGATTTGCCTGCAAATTTTTTTTTTCTTGATGTCTGCCGCTGCTCTAGGGAGTAAAGCATGTGCTACATTTACTGATGTTAAAGAATTTATTTCTGTGTGTGCCCCCATTGGCATGATTTCCCTATTTCTTGCTGTGTCAAGAAAAAAAAAATCTCCCCAATGAGGCCATACAGAGCAATACAAATTTGACAGTGGGACTAACACTTTCCAGTCTATGTAGAACTGAAAAAAAACTGACTGGAGTTTAGGGCTGAAACAACTAATCGAACTTACTCCATCAGTTCCCTCCTCTGCTGATTGACAGCAGGCAGTGGGTGGGTGCAATAGCCAGCTTGCTATTGGCTATTGCAATTTAAAATAGCCAGTAGGAGGCTGGCTATTGCTCCCAGCCACTGCATGCTGTATTTACATTCAGCTGCCAAAGCATGCAGCTGTCATTCCCCAGTGAAGTGGAAAGGTGATACTAGGAGTCTAATAGTCACCTTAAAGAGAACCTGTCACCTCCAATGTGCTATCACATAGGGGAATTGTGAGGCCCCCCCATGTGACAGCAATGAATAAAAGAAAATGTAAAAAATAAAAAAGGTAAATAAAACTAAAAATACACCCCAAAAAGTTTTAAGTCCCCCGACCCCACACATAACGTAAACACAAGTCGAGTGCACCTATGTATGAAAACGACGATTGTGCTACACATGTCAGGTATCGCCACGTGCGCCAGAGTGAGAGCAATCATTTTCCAGCCAATATTCATGGCTAACTCTAAACTGATGACTGGGCTTTTATTTATTTTAAATAAAAGTTTGGTTATTTTATTATATTGGAGTTTTACAATTCATATTATTTTAAATCCATTAAACTAATTTAAATATCTAATACGTATAATTATTAAAAAAAATATATAAAAAAATTTATCCCCCTATATAATAGCAATAACAATAAGTGCAAAAAAAAAATATATAAAAAAAAAAAAAGAAGTGGGAAAAGTCATTTTTTGTTTCGGCCTAACAAATTCTGCTGCAGGATGTGTGTTGTGGTGCCATTCATTTTAATGGCACCCCAAATGAGCCTCCCGTCCACACTGTAACGCATGGTACCGTGCCTTCCAGTGCTGAGCGATTGCAAAAAATGTGCATGCAGTTTTATTCTAAAGAAAACTATGTAACACTGTATTAGTGTATTTCAATCCAAATAAAAGATGGTATTTCATTTTTTTCGATTATGAAAATAATCGTTAGTTGCAGCCCTACTGAAGTAAATCTTTCAGAGTCACTAAGATATAGACATATTATAGATAGATATAGACATATTATAGATAGATATAGACATATTAAAATCGTGTCTCAAACGCCTCTACACCTCATTGCTGGCAGGTCTGAGTAATATAAAATATATGAACATGGATGAGATGTCCTCCTTTCCTTCAGCCACTATACAGTATGTACTCTGTATATAGCCAGAATTCGATCAACAGCATCAAAGGTAGAAGGCCATGAAGAATGATGCTGTAGATAACACAATTTACATATTTCCTCAAGCTACACCAATATGCATTACCATTACAAGCCACTGTAAGTCTATTGTAAATAATTTTCACTGCAAGGTTTGGCTGGTTGAAACATCACAAATGTCATGATTCTAAATGTGTGGGGTTTTTTTGTAAACTGAAACTATAAGGAAACATTTTATACTATAACACTGAATTGGCATCACATTTCACCCTGCCTCAGAGTAGCATGATTGGACCTACCTTGCTGCTATGTTGTATGACTCAGGATGAATACACGTCTGATCCAGTGGGTTTGGCTTTGCAGGAATGTTGAGTGTGGATTTTGCCGCTTTTTTGCCTTGTTTGGGTGCAGAAGTATGGGATGCTGGTGCACTTGATCCAGAAACATTGGAATTCTGATCCACTGACTGGTCCCTATGAAAGAAAAGCAATGCCTTAGTCTCATCACCATTCTGTTGTGGGCAACATTATACAAGTATTATAAAATAACTCAAATGAAAAAGGAAAACAAAAGGTATTTGTACTCGCTATACAATAATTTTCATGGAGTCCATCAAGGGATATGGGAATAATGCTGTTTACAGGAGGATTTGGACCCTGGCAAACAGAGAAATGTGTAGGCCAGCATAGGATAACCCCTCCTCTAACAAGCATGCCTTGTTTTAGCAAGTACCACCAAGAACATGATTCTAAACACATCTTGTGTTTTTCAATGGACTCCAAGAAAAGAATTTTGCAGTGAGTACAAACATTTTACTTACTTTTTCATCCATTGAGGCACAAAGGAATTCAGGCACTGTTGGAACATCCAAAAACTGAGGGGCGGGCAGCTCAGCAACAACCATAACAGACACAACAAAACAGAACTGGGAACTGGCTGTAGCCCATGAGCTGCCTGAAGGACCAAAGTGGATTCGAATGAGGCCAAGTCCTCTACTAGATAGGGAAGGGAACGAAGAATCAACCTGATTTACAAGACCAAATAGAAGGGTCATCACCAGAGAGGAATGACTCTACACAGACTAGAACACCAAACCTGAACCTGAGAGAAGCTGATCAACCAGAACCCACAAAAAGCAGGTTGAACAACAACAAATTCCCATTCCCATTTTCCCTAAGATCAAGGGACATGAACCTTGTGATTAAAGAGATTGTCTGACCAGACAACTAACCCTGCTAAGTGGGACTTACCATCAAAAACCCTAAATCGGTTGGAACACAACAGCCTACAAGAAGTATGAAGTGACTCCTGAGTCCACAGAGAACTCAGGACTTCAATCCCATGAAGATAACATGACTGAAGGAGTAGGGTGCATGGGAAGCACCCCAACAGGGGTACACAGGAGATGAAAGTTTGGCTATAGTTGTAGACAGGTGATATGGAAACAATTAGATAGAACTGAGGATTTAGCAATGCATCCTCTCTGGTACACATGAGGTGCCACTGGGGCAATTCCAGAAAATCATGCTGAAGAATGACCTTACCTATTCCTAACCCCAAGTCATAGGTCTAGAAATGCTCCAGATCCAGAGAAGTTTTAGCATCCGTGGAGTGACGAACAGGAATCTTAGCAGTACAGCAAAGAACATCCACCTCACTGAGGGCACAACAATTTTACTTTTTAAATGCAACAAATATAGGTACCTGAATTTGACTGGTATCAGCCTCTTGCATTCTATGATACAGCATTGAGCATTGTGCTACAGTGGAAGGAGCATGCTGATAAAAGGAGACAGCAGACTGATAGCAAAACAAGCTCCTCAGTATGCTGCTTCTCTTTTTACTGTCCATTCACTGGGTGGGGATGAGGAGGAGACCTGTACGTTAAAGTGAAACTGCAACAGGCCCCTTCTCCTGACAGACAGGACTGTGCTTTGTGGCAGTGCTATGTAAATCTCAGGAGCCAGTGGAGAAAAATATATATTCTTTGTCAGGTAAAACAGACCTCCCATAAGTATTTTATCTGTCTATTTAGCAGTTTGCCTAAAGTTTAGGCTTAAGACGTAAATTGTGCTCAGGGAAGTTCTTTAATAACTCAGCTTCAGTAGGAAAATCATGGAAATCCCATCTGAATGTATGACGTTTTTAAAAGTCAAAAAGCAATTACTTACTGTTTTGCCTTTCTGTATTTGAGATCATTTGAGATAAGGGGTTCTCTGCAGAACAGATCTAATACCTATGTTTATACTTCTTACATCTAATGTATAGCAGCATGTGTTTCGTGAACAGCAAATGGCAGTAATATATACACAATAAAACTGGCCTATTTTAGAACTTGTGCAGCACAATACATAAAACCTGCTTTTGAACAGCCGGGTATTCTGTAAAGCCCACACTTAATGCATTTGGAAAACTCTGGTTCAGCCAATGCCTTTTACAGCCTCTCAGATATTGTATGTAATATAGATGACATATTTCACGCAATGATGTGGTCCGGTACATCAATCTGTGTGTAAGCGATACACTACTTTTATTGTGCTAATAGTGGGTAGAAATATATTCTATATGAAATCCAAGGAAATAGGCAGCCAATGCCAATATTTACTGCAGACCCTAAATAAAGGAGGAAAACTCTTGTGATGACAAAGGTTATATGAGTCTCTTCAAAGGGAACTTTCAATTAATAAATTAATCTGCTATAGTACCCTTTGGAATTACAATAGAGTTACAACTAGAGTTTCAGAGAGGCTAAATCTTAGGCTTTTTTCAATGTAGTTAACTATTATTTACTCTTTTCTAGCATGTTTTTGCCCTGCCCAAATTTAAACAGATGGGTCACTGATGAAGGACACGTGGCAGGTTAGGTACACTGATTGACATGCTTTGCATGGACATCCTCATCCTTACAAGTGTGAGCAAGGGGTGGGTGGTTGGGTTGTGACTCTAGTCCTTGGTAAAATTACAGTTTGCAATTTCCACTACAAAGTTGGAGGTCTGTGGCCCATTTCTGAAACTCACCTTGGGTGATGTGATCGTATATATTCATGCAGTTATCCGGCTCTAATGATCATAGTCAATATACACTAAAACAATGATCCAGATCCCAGCCTCACCTCTATCTCCAGCCTAAGCAAGGAGTATGGGCTGGGTTAGAAAGAACTTTGCAGGTCTTATTAAAGACCCACTGCAGACCAGAAAAAAAGTCTAGACAATAGTATTGTATTAAGAGGCTAGAGAAAATTGATTCCACTGGCATCTCATTTGCAAAACATCTACCTGTTCTCTCTGCTGTATCCCTATAGAAACCTATGGAGAACACGGACAGCAAGCTGCATGGTTTCTTAGCTAAGCCTCGAACAGTAATGTCCTTCATTGGGTGTGGGAAGGCTCAGAGGAATGTTCTCATTATTCCTCCCAGGAAAATACATTTTTGGTGCAGTTGATGGACACCCACTCCTTAACTATCATTTTTCTGTCCCCTGGGTTATATACCAGAAAGTGAAAGGGACACCTACCTGCCCAGGTTCTTGACATACTCCTGGTTAATCCTGATAAAGCCGGCGCACTGCTGGAAGGTCTTCGGACCCAGACCCTTTATACACTTGAGCTGCTCTCTGTTAATAAAAGGTCCATTCTTCTCTCTCCATTCAATCACATTCTTTGCTCTTACAGAATTCAACCCAGCAATATGCCTAAAATAAACATTAAACAAGACAATAATACAGTGGAATTGATGTCACTATGTAATGAATAGGATTTCTGCTTCAAATGCATTTTCCTGTAGTAAAACGTATTGCTGATTGTTTACTAGAACAGACAAAGTCCAGCAATTAAAAAAGTTACCCTTGCAGTGGGGCTAAACCCACACTGAAAGGGTTATGTGCTCATTTTGTCTAGGGGCCTTAAATAAAGCAGATATATTTATCTGATCCTCTGTAAAGTGAGGCTAAAATAAGGGAGAAATTCCTTCCAGTTGTGTGTCTTTAATAATATCATGTCAAAGTCTCACCTCATGTATTTTGCTCTGCTGTAGCTGTCCTGTGGCCCCTGCAGAAGTCCTATAAACCAATATCCTACCATCTTTCTCCCCCTATTTATTTTTCTGACAAGCATACCTGCTTTGGGTCCGTAACCATTAAAGCTGGTAGGCAAGCATTAAAGCCAGACAGCCAGCAGTTTCAGAGTATCAGCAATGGCAGTCTCCTTGCATCTCAGCAAAGTTGCCTTTCAAGCAAACCTGTACTTTGTCAATGCAGAGTTTACTTTAATGTCCCCTCTCCAGAAGTTCATACTTCCACTCTGTTTTGTTGCTGGGAGGGAGGAAAGGACACCCCGTGTAGGCTCAAAGTCACTACAGTTGGACCTTACTTAGAGCTATGGTCTCTCTCCTAGCCACCACCTACAGTAACTGCAGGTGCAATCACCAAGGTCCCATTGCTGTCAAAAGAAGTGAAGGGGAATTAAACCTAAGTGTTTTTAAAGTCAGACAATTGAGGAATTGTCTTTACTACTGAAGGCTGAATGCAACTGCAGGGAAAAAGGAAAGGTGGTAAATGCCGCATTGGCAGAAACATAGGCTTGATTTCCCAAAATGTCATTAAATGCAGTGAACTATCACTGCCAGATATTTCCTATGTAAATACGTTCAAACACAAAACAAAAAAACAGTGGATGAAGCAGTGTCTGTGTGCTCTCCATTAATGTTATGTACACTGGAACAGAAGACAAACATAATTAAACTAATAACCAGAGGAACACACAGTGCATCATTGTGCAGTATGAATAGCAGAGCTCTGTAGCAGGTGGCAGCACCGCGGTGTTCTGTGTATGACGTTCTCCAGGCAGACAACTACAAAGTGAGGTTAATGGTGCAGCAATGTACAAAGCTGTGCTTACCTCAATAGAGTTTCAGAGCAGATGTTAATATCCACCCCTACAAAGCTGACACACTCCTCCACCACACTGTCCAGGGTGCCTTTCAGAAGCACCTGCGAGACATCGTGCTGAAAGAGAGGTACGGATTACTTTTATAGGCCGACTCCTGCCATTATAAAGACAATCAAAATATACCTGCAAATGTATTAATTAACCCCTAGAAGAGCAGCTCCACATAAGAAGCAAACTGAGTCAGTCACTGAGCCACCATATTATTTACATTTACATTACATTATGTTCATTTACGACGGCCCACAGAAGTGGTTATACTATGAACACGGCTGCTGCAGTCGTGTTCTTGGTGTCATTTTAAACAGCCGGTGATGGCTGTTAATGTACAAGCGATCCGGCATCTATACAGGCCCAGGACCAGCATGGCGGGTTTTCCCGTAATGATCGGATAGAGATCAGCAGGCTTCCAGCCACTGATCTATCTTTCAATCACTGGACCCGGAGTGGACTAGAGCCAAGATAGAAGCTGGGGAAGCAGATATCTGCTTCCTCAGCTTCCTTGGGGCCCCAAGGTGACATTAGGGGTCTGAAAGACCCCTGATGTCTCTATAAAGAGGACCTGTCACACCATATCTGCCATTACATAGCGGGCTTGTTAGCTCACTATGTGGTAGCAATACAGTTAGTGTAAAAAATAAAAAAAGTGTTTTTAAAAATAAAAAAATGAAAGTAACATAAAAAATAAAAAAATGCACATACATACGCAAACACATGTCGGTCCGCCTATGTGGAAAAACACAAATTGTGCTACACATTACAAATTGCCGCGTACGTCGGAGTGAGAGCAATAATGCTAGAGCCATTAATCACTGTTAAGACTAAACTAATGAACGGTAAAAGCTTTTAAAGTGTCCCCTATGGGAAATTTGGGGTATTATAGTTTTTTGCGGCTCCATGGGCGAAGGCAATTAAGGCTTGACATGTTTGGTATCTATTCATCCGACGTGACCCCGTCTTTTATATTTTACCAAAAAATTGGATATTATATTCTGTTTCTGTGCACTAAATTTCATTTTAGTTTATTTTATCCTTAACATACTCGTTTGTTTGGGGGTTTGAAGCTGTTTTCTAGCCAAAAATTCAGATTTTATCATGTGTGTGCAAATAGTAAGAAATTGCTTCGGACAGCAAGTGGTTAAGAAGCGAGACTAAATTTATAATAAAAGGCATAATAATTGCAATTGATTGGACTTTGTTCTCATTCTGCTGCTGAACCCTGACTGGGTTTCTTCCATTTATAAACTTTTGACATCAGAACTTAGAAAATGTTTTAGCAATTTCTTATTACATTTCATAAAAATGTTAGTTTATTTTCCCCTGTGTACCATTTGAGAGATGTCTCTTTATTTCCTGTGCTGAATACACAAGGGAGAAGCAATCTCTCCAAAGTGAGGAAAATGCCCTCTTAGTTGTCACAAGAACAAGTGTCCCTATTAGAAGGATTGCCCTCTGTTACAGATCTGGTGGCAAATCAAAATATTGGGTTATCCCTCGCTTTCAGTCCTGGTGACAATGGTGACTTTGATAAATAATGTGAATCTCCCTAACAGTGACACAGATAGCACAAGGGTTCTAAGCCTTCCACGCTAAAAAAACAAAACACTGCAAGCAGACTTAAATATAGGTGTGTAACCTTACATCCTGCTTTCTGGTCTGAAGTCACAGCAGTGCAGGAAACCAACTACCTAAAATCCAGAGAGTAGACTTACACTTGCTGGCTTAAAAGGGTAAATATACTGCCTGGCCAAAAAAAAGGCACCACACCTGGATTTAGCTAAGCAAGAGCTTTCCATTGGATAATTAGTCTAGGCTCAGCAATGTCCCAAACATTGAGGTCAGCTGCCTACCTGAATATACTAAATGAAAAGTTTTTTTCATCAATGGATTTTTTTCTTCCCTGATGGCACGGGCATATTCCAAGATAACAATGCTAGGATTCATCGGGTAAAATAGTGAGTGGTTCAGGGAGCATGAGATATCATTTTTACACATGGATTGGCCACCAGACCTTAACTCCACTGAGAATCTTTGGGATGTGCTGGAGAAGACTTTATGCAGTGGTCCAACTCTCCCATAATCACTACAAGATCATGCAGAAAAATGAATGACATTGCATAAGCTTATTGAAACAATGCCATGGCGAATGGGTGCCGTAATCAAAGCTATAGGCAGTCAAATGAGATGTTAGAGTGCGTGACTTTATTTGGCCAGGCAGTGTATTATATTATGGGAGTAAATTAAGCATGATATATATATATATATTTTTTTATATACATACATATATATACATACATATATTCTATATACATACAGTCTTTAAACTTCCCCTCTCTCTCCCACTGAAAATACTGGATTATGCCAGTTGCAGGATCATGTGAATTATTGCCAAAATTGTGGAGCCGAGTTTTATATACTGAAGCAGTATGATCCCTGGGAGCAGTTAGGTTAGTAGTTAGGTATTATTCAAATCAACTCCAGCCAAAATGTTTTAATTATTTTTGGACGGGGTGGTTAAGGGTTAGAACATCTACTAGGCTGTTACTGCTGTCTTAGTCCCCATAGGGGAGATTTCCTCCTTATATTCTGTGTAGTAAAAAAGACAGAACATATGCAGAATCTAACAGGAACGCATACACCAATAAAATCATTTCTAGGATAGAGTAGGGAAGGATGAAAACCTGTCAGAGTTTTATCACCTCTGTTCACTGGGGTGGTCCTCCCCACTTCCTATGCAATGACTGATATACAAGGGAATATCTCCTCAACGATGATGCAGACGTCAATATAAACTTAGCAGAGGCTCAATCCCTTCCCTGGGTGGAGTTAGGCTTCAATTATAACCATTACACGGTGCAACAGGGCTAAATAGCTAGTTGGCACACCAGCATACATATATTACTCAACACACCTCTAACATATACATTTGAGCATTTTCTTGCCATCAAGACATCTGGGAACAACACTTTCTTTGATCAACCAGTCTCAATCATCAACGTAACCTTACAACACCTGAAAACAACTGGGCGGCTATGTCTGGATCTCACCGTCTTCCCGACAGAGGTTCACACATCACTCAACAAAAGATGCTAAAATCAGCTATGTCAATGTTTATGAGCAAGCCGAGCGTAAAGAAGGCACTTTATTCCGTCTACTCATGCTCAATAGTCTAAGGCAGACTACGCATGGAAACTGGCGTGAGGGAAAAGGCATATTTCTGGCAGGATGCCCGTTAGCTTCCAAAAAGAGGAGTTTATACATGTGGCAAATATTTGCATTTAATTAATAGTTTTGTATTTCTCAGACTGTATTTTGGCAAGGATAACGGCTTCAACTGAAAGAAATAAAAATGGCAGCTGAACCTTTCACTTGTGGACAGAAGAAAAGGGGAAGGAGAAGATAATCTTTACAGGAAAGCTTAGTGTATTTTCTGTAAATATTTATTCTGAGTTCCTATTGTAAAATAAGTGTAAAGATTTTTTGGCAAGAGTATATATGCTGCATATGCTTGCTATGCCATAGTATTAAGATCATATATCGTATATAATTTTGAAGTACATATGTAAAGCTAATCAGAAATGGGTGCTGCTCAGCTTACTTTAACAAACGGTCTTGTGTTTCTAGGCACCTGAAGACATCCCAACCAACTAATCTTCAGAGGGAAGTCATCTGCAGGTTCCAAACTCTTTTCCAGTCCTAATTTTCCCAACGTAAGATGCTAGACGTTTCACAGGCAAGAATAGGCATGTTTGGGAGGCTATGTCTAAAGATGGCAAAGAAGACCTTTCCCAAAGAGTGAAAATTGCCTGCACATTCAACAACCTCCTGAGGCTTAAGGCAACCTTAGTGCCCGTGTCAACAGGCTTTTGTTTGCTTAAATACTGGTTCTCTCCCTATACAAATCTATGGGAACGCAAAAGCAGCTGAAGCAGGCTAACTGCACCTGCAATGAATTCTAACCCATATCGGAAGCATCACAAACTAATGTCAAAAGCAACATGAATTTGCCCATCAAAGCCCTTCAACCCAGGCTCTTAAACCGATCCTGTGTTCACCTTATTTCTACCTGAGTGACTTCAGGCCTCAATAGCAGAAACCTAGGGGTTCGTTCAAATACTTTTAGAACCCCTGCAGTGTGCGGTGGGATCCCAAAAAACCAGAAGGCAATATTATGCAAATCTAAACTTGAAGAATTGCCGCTTTAATATTCCTATCATGCCACCCCCACCCAATCAAGCATTTCTCTATTTGCCAGTAAGACCACATATTATAGTTTTGGAGCAAATAGTGAGGTATGGTAGGTTGTTGGGGTGCACCTAAACTCAACAACAGAAGTTTGATTCAAGACAGGCAGCATCATTAACAAGATAAACCACCTGTAAAGAATAGTGAAAGTATGTTCAGTTTAAAGATATTTGATAAGATGATATCAGCATGAAAGGTTGTAGACAAGAACAGGAATCTTCTAACACAATGTTACTCTCCATGGTACATGGCATCAAAAAGTGGGACTTGACAGGATCACAGGACACATTTCCTCCAGTGTGTGTATATCAATGTGCTCCCTTCAGTGCACCAGCAGCAGCCGTGACTAGAGTAAACAGAAGCTTGAAGTGTCCTATTGTCTGACTTTCACAAAGAGAGAGTATCCATGACAAGGGTTTTTCAACATTCTGGTCTATTACAAAGAGAAAAATAAAGGCAATCCTTAAAGTTGAACTACAAGCACAAAACATTTATTAAAATATATTTCTTTGTAGCCACAAAGGATATAAATCCGCTTTGTGTGCACCAAATGTCTTTGCAAAAAGCAGACATTAACAGTAAAAGTAGAATTGACATCATCCTTGTGTTGCACATAGCCTGTGCAGAGCTGTGGGAGGGACCCAGCAGGATCCACCCACTACAGGCAAACTTCAGAAAACTACAGGAGGGGGTGGATACAAGACCAGTAACCTTGCACAACGAGAGAGCAGCAGTGATTGGTCTTTATTATAGGAAGCTCTTGCACAGAGGCAAAGTGTTACACTGGATTGCTGAACTGATCTTGAAGAAATAC